ATTTCTAGGCTATACGAATTCATTTTCGCAATATCACTTAAATTCTATTGGTCCAATATTCGTTCGCTCGTTCGTTCACTTATTTGCTTGTTCATTCGCTTGTTTGCTTGTTCACTCGCTTGTTCGTTCACTTCACGTGATATAATCTTTATCCAATAATATACGAGATATTTATAATCCAATAAAATATTATGACGAAAGGTCATTATACAACAACATGTCAGATAAATATGATATAGCGAATAATGTTGATATGACTAAGAACTCTGCTATCTCTACAATCTATATTTAGTCACATAATTAGAACTAAGAAATTAAGAAATTAAGAATAATTCCAGGCTGTAACAACGTTTATTAGCTAATTATCTAATTAGTGAAAAATATATAACAATATCTAATCTTAATAAATAACTTTTCTATAATAAAAAAATTTCAGATTAAAGATTTTTATATTATTAATATAAAGAGTATATGAATCAGAAAAGCAAGTTCAAAATCTGAAAGATCAAATCAAAATTATTTTCTTCAAAAAGAATTTATCCAATCAAAATAATTTATTAGACTTTATATATATATATAATAATACTTAATTTTTTTATATTTGTTGACTGAGACTTAAATTAACTCAAAAATTATTTTAGAAGAATTAATATATAGAGTTCTGAAAAAAAATCTAGTTCAGTTTGAGCTTGAATCAGACTCAAATTTAACAAAAAGTTCAGTTCAAAAATTTGAACCTAATTAAAAATCTGGTTCGAGTTCAGTTCAAATTTTGAATCAGACTTGAATCTGATTAAAAGTTCAGTTCAAGTTCAAGTAATTATTAGTTGATATTCTAAGTAAAGTTATAGATCATAATATGAGTTACAAATTAATATAAGATAATTAATATTTAGAATAAATATTTAAAAAATTATGTGAATTTAAAAAATAATTTTAATTATTATGATTTTAATCTACTTTAATTTTAGTATAATAAACATTTATTTTGCTATAGTAATCATAAACTAAAGTTATAAGTAAAGTTATAGTCAAAAATAAGAACTACAAATAATATAAGATAATTATTATTAATAATAATTATTTAAAGAGTTACATAATATTTACAATCAAATTTAATAAATGTAAAAATAAAAATACTTTAATTATCACTATGTAAACTTTTAATTCTTACTAAATACTATAAATTAAAAGTTGTAGCTTATATTTAGAACTATAAATCAGAATATAATACTATATGCTAAACTTTAATTGAACTCGAATCAAACTCAAACTTGTATAATAATTTAGTTTGAGTTCTGTTCAAACTTTGAATTTTTCTTGAATTCAAGCCAAAGTTTAATTCGAGTTTAGTTCAAATTTTGAACTGAACTTGAATTTGGATAAAAGTTCAGTTTAGTTCAGTTTATAGAAATACTACTAATATACTATTAAATAATTCAATCAATATTATCTAGAAGATTTATAGTTTTTTAAATATTATTTAACTTAATTATCAAAATATATATAATATTATAATTCAATATAATAATAGAGATAATTAAATAATTCAGCTATAACAAAATATTAATAGATATAGATAGCTTGATATAATTCAACAAAATTATATTAATTAATTTATTTAAGAATAAGATATCTTTCAAGTTTGAATAATTTAATAATAATAAAACTTTAGATTATTGAATTAGTAAATTATCAATTTTTAAAAATAAATAGAAAAGATAAAAAATATCACAATTTTTGAAAGTTGAATACTATCTTTATTAAAACTCAAAAAAATAAATACAATAGTTCATTATTACATTAATAATTTGCATTACAGTTTCTAAATAAATAAATAAATTAATAATTAGAATAGCAATTATAATAATATTAGATTAACAAAAAATTATTAGAATATAATTGATATCAGCTTTTTAATAGATATTACAATAAATTCAAGAACAGAAAGACAAGTTATATTAAGTAAAAATAGAAAACACAACTTATAACAAATAATAAATAATTTGAATCAATAAATTTTAGCACTTTAGAATAATCTATCTATAAATAATTAATATATAAGAATAATAAAATATGTATATCCAAATTTTTATGAATATCCTAATAAAAATCCAGAGAAATTTATTAATTCTTGAAAAATATATCTTGTAATTATTAGAATTAATATAACTACTAGATATGCTTATAAAATTTGAGTACATAATCTTTTTGAAACATATTTTAAAAATAATGTCAAGAATTGATATAAAAGATTTCTATAAGAAAAAACTGAAAATTGAGAAATTTGCTTAATAATACTGAACAGGTTACTTTAACTTTTGCACAAGTATGAATAATAGTACAAATTGATATAAATACAAGACATAATACTATAGATCAAACTGAAAATATTATTATTCTAGCTTATATAGTATTTGATGAAAACTGATCTTTTGCAAATAATTATCCAACTGATTATATAATAAATTTATCAAATATCAATGCTGATCAATTTGTAATGATGGATGAAATTCAACTTGATCAGATAATATATTAGTTTAAGACTAACTATCCAACTGTTATTGCTGAGAAATACTGAATGATCTTTGAATTAGCAGTTCAAAATAGTAATTCTATTGGTTATTTCTATTCCAAGTTATATAAACTTGCTAGACTTGCTAATATTGATGAACAACAAATTTGATTATAATTTCTTTGTGGTATCTTTCCTGATAATCAATTAGAAATTCAACATATTGGAATTAACGGATCTATATCTGAATTGCTCACAAAACTTGAAGAAATTGAAAGATATAAGATTGAGCAATTATCTGGAACATATCTACATCCAGTCTCAGATTCAGTATCAATGAGTAAAGCTTGTGAAAAGAATAATTATTCAAGTAATACAAATATGAGTAAAGATAAAATGGAAAGCTTTGTAAAATCTATTATTGCTTCTACACAATCTACTTCTTTTAAGTCTCAGGAAGAACAGTCTAATCAAATCATGCTTTCACAAAATGATTTCAAAAAAATTATAACCAGTTTGAAAGGGACTATTGCTAAAGGACAGCATATTTTGAAGAAACCCCTGGTTCTGAAAAACAAAAAGCGGATAATCTTATTTTTTAGATGATTTAATAGATAATAATAATTTATCTGGAGAAAATTATGACTGATCCAATTGAAGATTTGAGATTACAATTTGAGCAGTTGGGTTGTGATTTCGGACATTTTGTGTACTAATTTTCACTTTTGATGAAAATAGTATAGCGATAGTAAATATTTTGAACAATTAAAATAAATAAAATATTCACTATCGCTATGCTGACTTTATATTTTGAAGAATACCAAAACAATAAGTATACTGACATTTTCTTAAGAAATCCTAATCACATTATCTCCGCTGTCAGTTTGTTGTTTAATTATTTAATAATTTATTGGTATCTGCCCATGAAAATAACAACTACGTACGTACTGTAGTATTGAATAACGAGTGTAATGTGGTTTTTTCTTCCTATTACGATTAAATTAAGGTAACAGATAAATGTCATTTTCACTAATGTCAACCTTAGGCTCTGTACTATTACTATTATTACTATCGCTATCATAATTAACTCGTTTTGCACTCATTTCATCAATTTCTTCTTTCGACAAAACAGGCTCAAACCTCATATCCTCCAACCGCTTACCCTTAATAATATGTTCGATACTTGGCCTTTTATTCGGCTTGTCATCCCAACACTGTGTATAAAGCTCAAAGTAATCTTTTGGAGTACCAGCAATAGGTAATTCACGGTACCCATGAACGACTTCTGCCGGTCTTATGTTTGGTATGCGACCGCTTGAGATTTCCCAGAGGAGTATTCCGAACGAATAGATGTCTGATTGTTTGTCACGTTTATAGTGCAATTGCTTGTATAATTGTGGTTCTATGTAAGCTACCATTCCGGCAGCGGTCTTCGAGACATCTTGACTGTCTAGAAGTTTTGCTAGGCCAAAGTCTGCTATCATCATTCGACCGTCGTGGACGAGGACGTTTTTTGAATGCTAATTAATTAATAATGTGTAAATGCGAGCACACGGTCTAAAGACTCGACATCAAGTTTATCGAATAGTAATAGAATGTATACCAGGTCACGATGATTTATATTTTCTTTGTGAATACAAAATAGTCCGTTTGCTATTTCTTCGGCGATTCGTCGCTTATCTTGCCATGTAAGATATTTAAAATTTGTATGGAGATACGATCGAAGAGTACCACCGTTTGCGTATTGCATTACTAAGTAATGTGTACGTTCAGCTTCATCTAATTTTATGAAAATCCGAATAATGGTGGTTAATAGATACCTGATGCATTTGTAATTGATCTAATGAAATAACTAATAATCACTGTAAGAAATTCCGTGAAAGCGAACAACATTATCATGATGTCTTAAAGTGTACAACATTTTAATCTAGAATTAAAATGAATGATAATTGAAATGTAAATTTATATACCAAATTATTACAGATAAATCCAAAATCAAAATTTTTTATACCTCACGAACTAAAAGATTTCTTTCCTCTTTCGACGTTTCTTCTTGTGGTTTAATTGACTTTAGCGCATATACCTGGTTCGTACCATCCCAATATGCGCGTTTAACTTCTCCGAATCCACCTTGACCAATATTCATAAACTCTGTAAATTCCGCATAATCGAATTGCTTTATGTGTTCATCTCGAATAGCAGAGTTCAGCCAGCTGATCGTTTTTTCGAATATTGATTTCGGCGGATCGGGTCCAACTTCTGCATTTTGAACTAGTTGTGCAGGAGTAAATAATATTGGATTTTTTGGTTGTGGAAATGAAATATGACTTGATTCGTCCGGTAGTGATCCTCTTGAGTGTGCTAGTATTTTTACTATTGCGACTACTGCATTTTGGAGGTTGGTCAAGAGCGTTTTAGGATCTATAAGATTCAATCTTTGTAACTGTAAAAAATAGATGATACGAATGAAATACTTTAGTGTATGGATTCAAATTGCTACTATACTGTATACATGTATGAAACATACCAAAAGAATAAGACTAGCATTACTCGACGGGTTTGCTGCCCACTGTACAACTTTCTCCAACGTCGACAACACCTTCACATAAGTACTCAACCCTTTAAACATTAAGTCATTCTCACCAGTTGGCTCGTACCTCGTTTTCAGCGGCGAGATTGTTTGATACGTAACCCTCACATTTTTTTCAATATCAATGCAAAATTCCTTGTTGAATTGCGTGGCACGGGTGTTTTTCGATATAGATTCTATGTGTGATTCAACTTCTTCCCAGATTTTTTCCATTTATTTGGGATGGCAGTGTGGAATGAAATACAGTATCGGTATTCTGTTTTGCATAGATTAAATCGATTGTACATTTATCGTTCATGTATTACGTATGTAGTGTTAGAACAACGATCGCCGAAAATAGAAGGTACAGACGATATCGATATAACGGAATTAAGGGTTTTCTTTTTCTGTTAAGAGTTTTTAAGGTGTAATTTTACGATGGATGAGACAAGTATTACATGCCATAAAAAATCGGATATCAAGTTCGAAAATCATTATCATCACGTATAGTCTAAATGCTATTCTTTTATAGTGGATGACAGCAAGACATCCAATACTGCGCCATAACGCCAAATTTTTATTGTATATCTTATACATAATAATCAATCCGACCAATCAGAATTATTTATTTTTTATTAGTAAACGCCAAAATTGTAATTTCACAAATTTATATCTCAAGAAAGAAAAAGAAAATTAGAAAACTATTATAGCTTTATCAAATAATTGTAAGAGAATTTTTTTATATTATCTTTTATTTTAAGTTATAACACTTTTTTGTGATATCATTTAAAAAATGGATGTCTTTTGCTGTTCGATACTCAGCATTGTCACGTTACTATGTTCAGTAACCAGAAGTTACTGAACTAGACCATAAAATTACTAAGTCCAGTGATCCAGTGGCGCAATATTAAACTATGTCCAATATAGCGTATGGAATTTTGTCTTCATTAACATAAGCATATCATTAACTTGCTGATCTTTCTTGATTATTACTAGCATATGCAAAACTCTAATTTTAATTTTTATATCATAATAAGAGATTGGCTAAAGCTCAATGAATCTAATGATTTATTTGAAAAATAAATCAATAAAAATGCATAAATTTTTGATTAATTCAGAAAATAAATTTGAAATACAAATATAATAAATAAAAAATATATGCTTTAATTTATCTTGAAGCACTAATTAAAAATATTATGGAAATAATTTTATATATCTTTGGTCTTCCATTCTAATTTTAACACTAATTTAAATCTAATACTAAAAATCAATCTTTAATTCTATAATAAACAAAAAAATTTAAGGATAAAGTATATTTTTTTTGTAATTTGCTAATTAAATAATTTTTTATAATTATATATATATAATTATATTAATTATATATAATTAGATAATTTTAACTTTGAAAAATATAAAAAATAAATTATTATAATATTAATTAAAATTATATATATAATAGAATTAATTTTATCTTTTTCTTACAATAATTAATTAAATAAATTATAATTAATGGAACAACTATATTAATAAGATGTTATATTAATATTAAAATTATCAAATATAAAAATAAAAAATATATATAATTAGAACTATATAAATTAATTTTGATTTGAATTATTATTAATATATATAAAATTTTAATTTTAATAATATTAGCATGTGAAATTTTGAATATATATATAATAATAATTAAAATAATATAATAATATTAAAATTTATTAATATAGTAAAATAAAGATTTTTTACTTTATATAAAAACTTTTAATTTTATTAATAAATCTTTTTTAAATGAAAAAATATTATATATTTTAATATATATTTTTTTAAGATTTTTTAAATTTAATTTAATCAAGTTATTTTAATTATATATAAAATTAATTATTTTTTATATATTTTAATTATAATAAAATAATTAAGTTTATATATAATTAGAATAATTTAATTAAATTAAATCTAAAAAATATATATTAAAATATATAAAAAATATTAATATAAAAATAAAAAAATTTATTAATATAATTAAATTTATTTAATTTAATTATTTAATATTTAATTAATTATTATTTTTATTGGATAAATTTAAAGTTATATAATTTTTATATATAATTTAAATATAATTTATAATATTTATTATTATTAATTATATTTTATTATATATTATTATTTTTAATTATATTTTATTATTATTAATTATATTTAATTATTATTAATTATATTATATTATATTATATTATTATTAATTATATTATATTATTATTATTATTTTTATTAATATTGCTACGGTTACTTTAAATGAAGGGTTTCTTCACTATTAGTAAAAGAGTCATATGAGTTGGGAGAGAGGAA